GAATTTGAGCACCGTCTTTGATCTTTGTCTCCATTTGCAGAGGAGTTGCAGCTCAGGCTGTGCTGCTGGGCGAGCGCTCGAGGGTGCCCCTTACAGACCCTCTCCCCAGACCACTGGAAGACCAACTGCAGCACATCCCTCCTGCCACCTACCCAGAGGTCTCGGACAGAAATGGGGTGAGGGGAATAGCACAGAGCCAGGGTACGGCCAGAAGGCCCTGGGTGCCCAGCGATGGGAGGGTACCGGCGAGAGCCTCCGGTCCAGCTCCTGGGACTCACCCATCACTCAGCTGGGAAGAGAGCGGGAGCTGGTCCGTGCATGAGCCGGGCTGCTGCTTCTCCACTGCGGGGAGATCAAACACCAGCTTAAAATCCATTTTTTTATTAGTAACTGTCACACTTGAAGCGTTATTTTGGAAGTTAGACCTTTTGTACAATCCTAACGATTTCTGTTTAGAGAAAAACCACCTAGGGACTCTTGCAAAGCACAGACTTCGTTATGATTAAGATGGTATGTTAGTACAAATCCAGTAGTGAGCATGCCACTGAAGAGTCTAATATGCTTAAAACTAGGTATCTGCTATGTATCTTGTTGAATTAAGCCTATAACCACAAATGTGAAATAATCCCCAAGGTAATGGGGGGAAAAAAAAAAAAGTACTTCCCTAATTCATTTTCACATAAGCACCTGGCCTTTAGTGCTCTAAGTTATATATTTCCCTGTAACGTAAGACCTCGCTCCAGTATTTTGCTACTAGGCTTCTTCTGAAAATCAATTCTCTGGTGAGAATTAGTGGATTTGAAGATCAGCGATGTGAAAATAGGAAAGGTTCTGCTGCAGAGCGAATGCCACAGAGCAATTGGTTAAATATACCTTTTATAAGCTCCTGCTGCTTGAACAAAATTTTTCGTATTTCATTCAACCATGCCATCTTCAGATCTACTGTTTGGGCCTGGAAGAAGAGGAAATTGTCTGAATTTTGAATTAAGAATCATCCATTATAATGCATGCATAAAATCTTTACTTTTCTATGCTGTTGCTGAAATCCCCTTTTATCCAAAGCCACCGCTAAATTTTAAACATTCTTGATCTTTTAAAATTGATGATCCCCACTACATCCAGGTAAAACACAGTGGAAATTGTGGAGCCACCACTACAATGCAAGGAGTGCAGGCAAAAGCACACGTATGCATGCATCTCATCTCTTTTACAAAATACCTAAAGGGCCAAATCTGCCTTTTGAATATATGTATACTTAGCTACATACATCTGCTTTATGAATTTAAGTTGGCTACTGTGTCATAGCACAGAGAAAAAAAGCTAGGCAGAAGACTAATTAAAAAAAAAACATCAATCAACAATATTTTCACAATGGGTTTTCCTGTGAACACCCCGTTAGGCAAACATTTCACCATCAAAAATTTCTACTCAAAATGCTACAAAAGGAAAAGAAAAAAAAATCAGGAAGAAATCAGGTCAGTTGGGCTACTATTTTGCAGATGAGTCCAAAGACTACTGGAAATAGCACCGCAGAGGCTTAGCCTTTGCTCTGGGAGCAGTTCTGACATCTAATTGTAGAGGAGCACATGTGGCCCGTGTCAATTAAAGCATGAGGCCCATTTCCCAGCTCAGTTCACACAAGCTATTAAGCACAGTAAAACTACTGGTCTATATGAGATTTCATCTGGAATAAAAGGCCCTATTTCCAAGGAGCAATTCCATCTCCTCTTTAAGATGACTTTTACAGTTCTGGACGGGACACCAAGGACCAGCCACTGGGACAGCGCTGTGGACGCTGACATGGGCAAAGAGGAAGAAGAAATGCAAGTTAAATGTCTGATAATCCCATAAAGATCAATGGGAGACATTTCCTTAACACTGTTATGAGGATGTACAAATATGCAGATTTTTTGAAGCTACAAACCTGCACAACATAGACCTCTTCTCGCCCACTATACCAGATTTCAAATTTCCGATGATCTCCTTTCACGTTCTCAGTTATTCCAACTGCATTCATCTGCAAATCCAAAAGAACCAAAAAAATCTTTCCCTGTTCCCTATGAATCCAGACATTTCGCAGCATGTTAAACAAACCTGTTTTCACCCAATTTAACACATTTCATCAACTTTAATTTCAGTAGCAACTGAAAGTCATTATCTGACTTATCCCCTCTGACTTTCCACCAGCTTGCTGTATTTGTAAAAGCTTTCTGAAACCAATCACTGGACCTTAGGGGACTTTTCATTCGGGAATCAGTGGAACTAACTGAAAAGTCATCTCGTACCTCTTTCTGTATGAAATTTCTCAGATGAGACTTATGAAGCTTTATAAATGCATGGCACGTTATTTTTCTACATACATTATTTCTGCCATATTATTCTTTATTTGCTCACTGAATTCTGTGTTTCATTCTTTCAGCGATCTTTCAAACCCATCTGTGAAGCCCTTAGCTCCTTTAGGAATTTCAGTTCAACATCTTTCGGTCCCTGACCGTCCCTGTAGTTGAGACATCACCCCAAGGTTTCCAAAAGAAGGGTTAATGTTTGGATACACAGCCTAAGCTGCCATAAACCTGGCTTTCAGGAAGGAGGCAGACTCCAGGCTAGATGTGGGTGAATGCTGCTGTACCTAGATACCTGTTATCACAGACCACTTTTGTAAGTTGGATGGAAAGGCCAAAGGCACAAATAATTCAGGATCTGTGCAACAGGACCCACCTGAATGAGCAGCTCAAACCATGATTAGAGACCAAGAAACTCTTCAGAAACAGCAGCCCTCTGAGGCATACCTCTGACCCAGCTGCTGAACACGCCATAAAGCTGAAAAATGCTTTAATACCTGATACCGCATAAACCATCTTCCCACTTAACGCACAGTTTGCTAGCGATTGATCGCTGATTAATGGATGGTCAAAAATAGCTATAGTATCCCACTTACATGTTTTGAAACAGACCTAATAATAATGGTATCATCTGTCACAAATTATTCGCACAGACTGGATTAGATAAATCCATTATAAATACAAATAAGGCCTTAGCAAGAACATCTGCTTAATGTTGCTGTTCCTCTTTGTTAATATGTGCATCCTCAGAGCTTATTGTCTGAAAGACTACGAGGATTTACAGATTAGGTCACCTGGGCACACTTTCTCTTCCTAGTTACTTTTTCAAATGTTGGCACCCGTTTTCAGCGACTACGAACTGAGCCTCGGGAAATAGGAAGCAAGTTGCTAATTAGCTTTCCTCATTTCTTCACTGGCATAAACAGCAGAGCTCTTCTGAACTTTTGAGAAAGCCTTTGCCTCCAGATGCAGAGAGGCCCATCGCTGAAGAGCAGTCAGTACTTCCCAGTCTCTCTCTTTGCCTCGCATCCCTCTCTCAACCCGGTCCTCTACGGTCACGTTTGACAAAAGGCGAGAGATCCGCACTGAATAGGGCTGAGCTCGCAAGAAGGTGATCAAAGCCAGCGACCGTCTGCACATTCGCAGTTTTACACACATCCATTGGTATTTAAAGATGCATAAGTTAAAATCTGCAGCGTAGTCCTGAACATTCCGAAAAATTTTATCCTGTGCGGTATAGTGCCACAATGCCTTAGAAAGCTGGATCAGGCTCCACTCTGATTTTGTGAAAACTTAGAAAACTTACAACTTAAAAAAAAAAATTTCCTGAAAGGTGTTGAAAGGGCAGCGTAGAGAGCACCTCATCCACTCGCTGCAGCTTCCAGTTCCGTGCATCTTGTTTAGCACGGTAATTTATACAGAGGCTCCTACGAAACTGCCCCGGCATCGAGATATTAGAAATTTTAGATGATCTAGTATGAGGATGCAAAAGAAACTGCCAGGAATAGACATATTTAAGGTCTGTTCATTCACATTAGTGGATTTTGAAATTCTATGTCCTCCCCCTGGCCAGGATTTACTGTCCCCCAGCTGTTGGTTCGCTGCAATGCAGACCGAGGCGGGTTAGTGTAAAGCTCTGGGATGGCGTTCATCTGCGTCACCTTCCATGGTGGCAAGAGGCAGACTGATTTACTTGGCATTGCAGTGAGCTACGAGCCTGCATCCTCTAAGTTACTGAATTGCAGCTGAAGAGGTATTTACCACTGGATATTTTACGTAGTATGTAAAATATTATCCTGAGGGGTTCTTTTGTTTGTTTTGCAGATGTCCAGTTACACAGCTTCTACCCAACAGCTTGCTTTAATTCTGAATCCCCAGAAAACATTCTTGCAAGGAAAAATAATTTCCTGATACTATCATGAATCAAACAAAAGTCAAGCTCCAGAAACATGATTTCGCCCTCAGGACAGCAATTCTGAAAACGTATGTGTGCGGATGTAATCCTGCAGCATCCATGGATTCTCTAACCCCAACCTCTCAGCGTGACAACACAAACAACTGCAAAATGAGCCCTCTCGAGGCAAAGAAAAACCCTGGCTACATCGCCTGGACTCCTGAACACGAGATTTTCTCCTCCGAGCAGGCTTTCCCCGAGCCACCTCTTCAGTTCTTTCAGAAGCACTTATGGTAAAACAAGTACTACAGGGAAAACAAGCTCTCCAGAAAGAAAATGATGCTGCTTGGGAAAAACATTTAAGTACCTAAACATATGGCCTGGGATTTGGTTTTAATACACAATTTGTAACATGCACTGGAGCTGAACAGACTTATCTACTTTTACATGGCTTTCCGAATACTCGTGGCATCTCTCTCTCCAGACCCCGCTGAGATCTGCAGCGCCCCTGCAGCACCTGGGCCTGAAGGCTCTGCCTCCAAGGGCCCATTTTTTTCCATTCTAAGATATACCCATATTCGGTTTTTATTTATCAAGAAAAAACAAGGCAGGGTACTGAGACAAAATGCTGATGTTAGAAGTGCTCATCACACGTGGTAGGCCAGAAGGTCTCTTTTAGAGGAGCGGTTTGGGATTTTTATTGATAATAGTTGGCATTTATAGGCTTGGGACAGTTGTTTATGTCCCTCATACTTTGCCATAGGCTACTCTCTTCATCTGATAATTGTACTTTTAGCTGCAGTTAGAGCCTGCCAAAGAAGAAAGGCAATGAGAGAGGAAGAAGAGTTATCTCCACATCCTCCTGGCTGGGAAACAGGGCTCAGGAGCAACCAGGCTCCTCCAGGCTGTGCACCAGACAGACCCCAGCCCAAGGGACCTCCCTGGGGACCAGGGGTGTGAGGAGCCCCCTCGCTCTCCCAGGTGAACTGGGGAAGATGCAAAGGGCCTCCCCAGTTTCATGCCCTTGCCCCGCTCCTGGAAAGTGGACTAGGGGAGGAGGGAAGGCACGTTCTCATCCCTGGTACTTGCCCGTAGCACCGTTTCCCTGGCAGATGCCATCACGTATGTGACTCTGAGTCCATGGGCTCTCCCAGCTGCTGCTTCAGCTATGGGCAGTCCTCACAGCTTATTACAAGTAACAGCCTTTCATGGGCATGGCACTTCCATGTGGGGCATTACAACCCTTAATAGCAGAAAACAAGCCACTGTGTTAGAGGAAAAATATTCTCTGGGTCTCCAGAGTTACTGATTTACAGTACACATGGCAATGGCCCCAACTAAAATGTCCTTACTTTCAAAAAATGCTTAAAACTGTAAGATGAGGTTTTGTCATATCCGTCTCCGTGCTCCTCTCGCTTCTTGCAGAAGACCAAGGCTTTCTCATACAGGAACAGATGCCTCTGCATTGGCTTGAACCGGGCAAGATCCTTCATTTTTGTTGGGCCTTTTCGGTGTCCTGTCCAAACACTGAAAGATCCTTGCATCAATACTTTCCCCAGTTCGCTCAGGTCGCCCTGGTGAGAGTATGACAAATAAAAAAAAGAAAGAAAAAGACGCCAATTAAAAATGTAAGAGGACTGTCCAAACAATGACAGGCGATGGGGCCAGCCCTGTTCCAAGGCACATCACTCTAAGAATAGGTCTTCCCGGAAGGATCAGATGATCTTTTGGGAGTGAAGGCATGGTGCCAGGAGGGAAGCAGAGGTCTCGGATGCAGGGCTGCAGCTAGTCTATGTGAAGGGATACAAGTCAGTAACTGGAAGAACTAGGAAGATAGGAAAACTCTCCAGCTCCTATGGAAGTCCAGGTCAAGGGCTCTGGCTACTTCAGTGGGAAAGGGCAGATGAGATTTGAGCCTGAACTGAGGTCTCAGAGAATGGACTTCTCAAGGAGGCCAGGACTGGCACCAGCAGCTTAGAAAGCCAATCCCTCACCCTTCCCTGAAGCCCTAAGAAATCAACCACTTCAATGGCCAAGGATAAAAATCAGCCTCGGAATATTTAGTTAAATGCTGAATGAGAAACGCTATGAAGACACCCCAGGCGAATTATAAGGTGAGCCATGAGAGAACTAAGGTGCATGCTGGAAAAATACTCTCGAAAACCACAAGGTGGCAAGTGTGGGCACTATGCGACTCGGCATGTCCTTTGGATGTGGATATTTTCCAAAATCCTGAAATCAAATGGAAGACTGTCACCTGTAAGAACTTCCCGATCCCATTCACTTTGTAGCTGTTCTAGTACAGTTTTTAGCTCATACATTCTGGGACACTATCCATTCCCAATGCATCATCTGGCCTTGTGCAAGGTCTCTCATTACCCAGATCTACTCACATCATATCCTGTTATTGAAATCTGATGCATAGAGTCATTGACTGACTTTAGCAAATCCAACATTGCAACCAGAGCTTCTTGAAGTTCCTGAACTCCATCACAGCTCGTGCTGTACTTTAGCAACTCCTGAAAATAGAAATGGAAGAGCATGTGTTTGCACTTCAACAAAGCAGACTTTTCCATCTCACCCAAAGTTTCCAATGCCCAAGAGCAACCTACACTGCCTGAGCTTCTTTTTTCATATGTCACTGGAAAAAAGACTCACTAAACCACAGTCAGTATGAGGAGTGGAACAGATCACTGAAGCATGGCCTGTTTTTTCTGGGTTTCCTTAGGGACAGTGTCAGGTTATAGGGAGACATCACGCTCATCTGAGTTCTTTGTGTTGTGTTTATCTGCTTGGTAAGAAATGGAAAATAAGGCTCAGGTTTTCCATCAGCTGCCAATATGTCATATATGCCTTCAAATGAGGTTGCAGCAGATGATTGTCTTCAGACTGGCAGACAAAAGGAACAGATTTTATAAAAACCAGAGCCTTCAGGTCAATAAGCAGAAGACAGAGTTGGGAATTATACTACTGATATAAAATTACTTTCATTTCAGACCTCCTCTGCCCACTTACAGCTTCTTGTGTAACTCATCCCTCATTCAAGAAGCTGGAAGGTGGGGTTCAGAAGCCACCACCCCACTACTGTTCTCACTCTGTAGAGTGGGAATAACAGCACTGCCCTGCCTCAGACGGGGGACACAAGAATAAATGCATTAAAGATTACAGGCACTATAACAACCTGAGGTGCATCACTATAATATATTTCATTCATCATACTCTTATGATCATCTCTGGTTCAATTTTCTTAGAAGTGCTTCTGTCATTTTGCATCTCTGAACAGATTCAAATGGCCTTTCTCCCATAAAAATGGCTTCTTAAAAGCACTCGTTCCTTTTTCAGGTATGCGAATTTTCACCCTCGCTGAAAGTCACTACAGAGGGCCAAGATAAACAATACGTAATCTAAGGCTTGGTGCTGATTTATAGGTAACCTCTAATTGAAAAATAAAACAAACCAGAAAACAAATCTATCTCCTGATGTCCTTTCAAAGCAGAGTATGAAATACCTTCAGAAGTAACTGGTATTTTGTCAGGCGCTGCACTGGTTTGAGGAAATAGGAATCCAGCCGGAGTTTGGGGTCTAATTTCATTTGGACTTTCGCGAACAGACGGATTAAGTAAGTTCTGCACCAACTATAAGTAGTTATTCCAACAGCATGACTAGTATGGTTTGATGACTTTGAAGATTTAATGTAAAAATATCATATGGTGCCTAGAACTGAAGACATTTTATAAAACATGTAAAATAATATAATGAATGGATCTGCCTTAAACTCCTTGTGTACAAGAAACTTCCAGCTGCTATTTTTGTGAGGCTTCCATGCAACAGTAAACAGAATATGCTGCAAAATCGTGGGGTGCTGAGGAGGGTGTTTAGGACAAGTGAGTGTCCCAGGACAATGCCCGCCTTGGTAGGAACAAAGAGCTCACCTGGAAGAAGGTGCTTTCGGAGCACTGCCTCCACAGGGACTCCGACCGGGGCTTGTTCTGGCAGTATTTCTCATACATCTGGAAATCGTCTCGCTGTAAGGGAAGACAAAAAGCAAGTCACGCATGCACGCAAACCTGCTGGGCAGCCAAACTGTAAATTTGCTTTTGTCTCTCCTGCTAACTGTAACATCTGAAAGTCACAGAGTTTGGGCAGAAGAACCACTGCTGGGAATCACAGTGGACCACGGTGTAGTCACGACTGCTGCTTTCCCCCATCTGCTGCTGGCCACGCACTTACGCTCCCTGCCTTGCTGTTGGTATTGCATATCAGAAGCGTCTTACTCAGCTGACATAACTGAGATGCTGCAGGGTGCGACAAATCAGGAGAAACATTGGCCTTCAAGTCTGCTTTATATGTGAAAATGAGTCACCCACCCTGTCTAGGAAACAAAATCCCACTCTCTCGGGTGCTCCCAGGCAGCTTTCCAGACTGTGCAGGAAAATTCTGCAAGAGACGGGGGAAGAGACAAAATGCAGCGGTGAGCAAGGTACCCCTTGGCTCTTTAATCATTATAGGAAATCAGTCTGGTAAAAAGGGGAATAGAGGCAGCATCGTACTTGTTGTGGAAGTCGTATATCTCGGGCATGTTTCCGAAGAGGACGTCCTTCCTGTTCCTCAGCACAGGAGGCATGAGGATGAGCATGGCGGGGTTATCCATCTCAGCTCTGTAGCCCTGCGGGATGCAAGAAGGGCTCATCACTCAGTTGGTAAGGCCTTGGCTTGGCATCTCCTCGCAGGCAGATGAAAAAGGGACGTGAACAGACTTTCAATACAATCTGCTTTGTTTCAAAGTGCAACATCCCTTTTATTTCCTTATTTTTGTCCCTAAACCCCTGTCTTTCAGCCCCTGGGCACGTGGGGGTTGTGGTCCAGCCAGGGGATGGCTTGGGGCGGCTCCCGTGGGGCTGGCCAGCACCGCAGAGATGCTCTCTATTCACCAAAGGCAAATCGCAGCCGCTTTCTCCTCGCTACAGCCTGACTGCGGGAGAGGTCCCGGAGGAATACTTGTCTGAGTTGAACACAGCTGCTGCTATGACCACAGGACACAGGAGTGACAACGTGTTTGTACAGGGTATGCAGTTACACACAACCTCACGAGAACCCGTGCACGAGGTGACTTGTTACAAAGCAGAGACAGCTTGAGATCAAATACCAAAATCAATGGGCTTTTTGTTCTTGTACAAGACCCGCTGAGCACTAGAGTCTCGCTCTCCTCGATGCCTCAGGATTTCTGTCCTCTGTGGCTCCACCTGCCTCTTGAAATCACAGCCTCCCAAACCGGGGAGGAACTGGAAGGGACACCACTGCCCTACAAATTGTTGGGTGGAATGAGGAAATAATGCAAAGCTCCCCTCAGTAACATCACATCACTGCACCAACGCAAACACATTCACCAGATATGGTAAACATCCTAACTGTAGGGTAGGGAGAAGGCATGGCCAGAGCTCAGGACCGTCGCTGCAAAGAAGGCATCAAGAAGGCCATTAGCCACCGCTCAAGCTGGCCACGCTAGTCACCAAGCATTGCACAGAACTGAGGTCCTTTTAACACGAGTAGCAAAGATGTTTGCAAAAATGTATTCAGTATGTACAGCATATCTTCTTTGGCTTTCCAAATTAATCTCTTACACTCGCTATGGTTGTATATGTATTCCTTATACGAAGCAGGCACTTTGTAGTTGATTAAGGATTCAGTAGAAGATAAGTATCTGGAAAATTAGTCATTTACATTTAACCACTGCAAGCAGGCTTCCCTCTTTAAAGGAAATACTGTCTTCAGAAAACTTATGTCTATCTGTCCATTTTTCTCTATCTAGACTTGATATGCACAGTAATAAATCTGCATATCTGCCAACTTCTTTATCACAGAGTGTGGTTTTACAAAAAAAACCCCAATCAGCACAGGGCAATTACATGTAACTACCTGCAGTCCAACTGATTTATAACCTGCTTTCTCCTGGGCGAGAGAAATGCAAGGGGGGAGAGCTATTTAACAACCAACTTGTTCTGGCCATCAGCAAGAGTTATTTTGGAATAAAGTAGAAGTGTCTAAAATGGCAGTATGAGAAATTATAATCTGGTTTCTAAAGAAATGTGCTTTACATGTTCACAAACTTCACAGTATTGAGACAGAATCCTCCCAAGGATAAAACATAAGCTTCTTTCTTTTGTCTCCAAAAGGTAAAAGAAATTAGGGAACAGTTAAAAATACCAGCTTTTTGTACATTTTTCCAAGCACTGATAAAACTAATTACCAGTGCTTTTGTGTACAAACAGAAGGCTTCTCCCTCATTCTAGATGAAAAGCTCATCCTGACACCAACTGTTCCTGCAGATGCCTCTGAGAAAGAAAAGCTAGGGAGAAGACTTGAAGATTTATGACTAGCTTGGGATCTGACAGTTTGGTAGAAACCTGCACGATCACATTTTTGCTTAGTTTTATAGAGTGGCAGGTGCCCCTTGGTACAAGTCACCGGGGAACAATAATGAGCAACCTGAAGAAGTCACTCACCGTCAAAACAGTGAAGAGTTCCTCTACGTACACTCTCTCAGTTTCTATAAGCTCATTTATGACATGGCTGGAATAAAGGGAAAAAAAAAAGTAGTATATTATTTTTACATCTGCAAAAAACCCAGAGGCAAACAGTTCAACAAGCCCAAAACATAGTGCGATCTCATTAACAACCAACACAGGGACAATAAAACTGGCAAAAGCGCAAGAGATGACACGCAGGTCAGGTTGGAGGAACACATGATTGGGGCAAGGACTGGCCAGAAGTAAACATCATAAAAAACAATAAACATTGAGATTCAACAAGGCCAAGTGCCGGGTCCTGCACTTCGGCCACAACAACCCCATGCAGC